CACGTTTATCTCGTGATTTGTACGCTAAGCTACGAGTTTCCCCGGGGAAGTTTAGCTTTGAGAAATCGCGCGAACTTTGGTAAGTGTATCCGGCTCAGTTCTTTGATCAATTCATTAATGGTTTAGCTGTTAGTGGTTGCGGACGCCCACATCACTTCTGGTCAAACAGCTATCCTCCGTTCTGGCGCAGTTATTCTCGTGAGTCCACGCCGTAGGGGGGGGGCACTGGACTGGAGCAGCGGTTTGAACTCCGGACGCCTGACATGCTAGGTGAGTGTGTTACCACCACCCCACTGGCGCACACCGGACGCATGTGAGTCATCACGTCTGGACAGGTGAATATGTTCACGCTTGACTGTGGTGAGCGGAAAGCCCACGACCCAGTAACACATCTTGGTTGTGTGTCGATTGACCGATCCACCTGCCAGGAGTTATCAGTCAGGATATTGAAACCTGCTGAACAATATAGGTGCCTAAATGAATAGATGTCCACCTAGACGCCGTAACTGTTGCTTTTGTTTTGCGGTTGTGAGGATGCCGTTCAAAAGTACCTATGTAACGGCTTTACTACTGATGGGATATGCTAATAGTATGTTTCCGCGTAATTCCGCTCCACGTCTGTTGGGAGGTTGGGTTTATTATAGAATTTGGTGAAGTGATTGGCCGCATTCGTTTACAATTGTGTGATGGTCAATGTATATCCAGGAAAGTTCAAGAAGACGGACATTCAGTTCAAGAAAACAAGAGACAGCAAGAGAGTTTTACTTTCCTGTCCGATAGTTTGTAACGATTTAGTCGGTGTTTTCTAATGAACAACTTTGCGGCTAAGTGCTTTCCTTGTTACACCTATATTAGTAGATGATGCACTGCGCCCGTTGCTGGTGGGGTCGGCTGAGCAGTGTGACATCACTCCAAATGGGGTCGACCACGCCACTTACAAAGTTATATCTCTGACGTTGTCGAACCAGTACAGACGTCGGAGAATCTTGTGGGGTCTACCCATAGATGCTGTGAATCAGAAGCTGTTTGATATCTCACAGTGAATTGACGTCCGTAAAAGTGTTGGCAAGGTCTTGGTCAGCCATTTGGCCGGTCGCAGTTGATCTCGTTGGCTTCCGGGAAGATTTGTTTGAGTCGGCGCCGCCGAAAGGCACCTCCCGTAAGATCAACTGAGAACTTTTGGTGCTTACTGGTCCCAATAAAATTCACAGCCACTGTTACACCTGGTTGAGAAATACTTCCTGTGGCACCATATCTTTCTCTAGAATTCAGCGGTATTCTCTTGGTCGATCGGCTGTATGAGTTAAAAACAGTGAACTGTCGAAGAGTTTTCAGCAACCTCGTCAGTAGTTTCTTTTATAAGAGCGGACTTTATGTTTTTGACTGACAGGTACTCCAAGACGAATGGTGATCTCTCTCCAGTGGTGAACATCTGGCCTTTTCTCGCACTTTACAATCAATCAATCAATCAATCAATCAATCAATCAATCAATCAATCAATCAATCAATCAATCAATCAATCAATCAATCAATCAATCAATCAATCAATCAATCAATCAATCAATCAATCAATCAATCAATCAATCAATCAATCAATCAATCAATCAATCAATCAATCAATCAATCAATCAATCAATCAATCAATCAATCAATCAATCAATCAATCAATCAATCAATCAATCAATCAATCAATCAATCAATCAATCAATCAATCAATCAATCAATCAATCAATCAATCAATCAATCAATCAATCAATCAATCAATCAATCAATCAATCAATCAATCAATCAATCAATCAATCAATCAATCAATCAATCAATCAATCAATCAATCAATCAATCAATCAATCAATCAATCAATCAATCAATCAATCAATCAATCAATCAATCAATCAATCAATCAATCAATCAATCAATCAATCAATCAATCAATCAATCAATCAATCAATCAATCAATCAATCAATCAATCAATCAATCAATCAATCAATCAATCAATCAATCAACCAGACAACCAATCAGTCAATCAGTCAGTCAGTCAGTCAGCCAGTCAGTCACTCAAGCAAACAATCAATCAATCAGTCAATCAATCAATTGATCAGACAAGTTCTGTCGTACATTCTTCGTTCATCCAGAATGCGTCCACAAATGAGAAACTCTCTCTGTTGCCAATAAGCTCATCGTGTACTGGACAACCATAGCACAGTTGCCCAGCTAGCCATACAGAACTCCTGACCTGAAAACGAGCACAGGTAGAAAGATGTGACGTGTACTGTGCTCGACGAACAGATGAGACTTGCCAGCCGAATAATCCTGGTAGCAGTTGCCCTGTTCTCCAAAACGCGTGGACAGCCAAACATGTTGGACATTGTTTTTATCGATCTGACTTTTGGTCGGACCAATTATCGATTCGCTTGTTGCGCGCTGTCAGAGGATTTGGATAGCTTATACCTAGTTTGCTTCATCATCTCTTTTTGTCGTGAATTGGTCGCTTTAATTGCACATCCAAACTCATGCAACAACTGAGTCCATTCTCCGTTATCCGTGTTCGTCCCATGCTTTCAAAAGGTGCTTGCTAGGCGATGGAACATCAGATTGTAAGCGACTTTAGTTCTGTTTGCATCTCCGGGACACTTGTTAACAAGCTTCTGTGTTTTATAAAGGAAACTACTCACAAGGTTGCTGAAGACTCTTCGACAGCCCACGACCGGTTTCACCCTTCTTGGGGCTCATCAGGTAGGCGCAGTCCCCGAGTTTCCGTCAACCTTGTGATCTACTTGCTTTGTTTTACTTTGTCAGTAATCAGTAACTGTTTCTAGCCTCGATTTGGCGCCTTTCAACATCTCGTAGACTTTTCTTTCGAGGTCTAATGATACAACTGCCAGGTCAGTTGGAACAGCGCCATCCCTAGTATGATGAACTGCATTTCTAATAGAGTTTTGTAGCAATTTTTATGCGGCTAGACGTATTCTGACACAGAACAGTCACATAAAGGAATCCACTCTCCCGAATGTTGTCTCTTAGACAGCGTGACGAGACTCTAGTCGGGATTTCGGCAAAAGATGCCGTAGTAGGAGGCTGAAAGGATCACTTTCCCAATGGGGGTACCTGTTAACAGGCATGGAACTGGATCAAGGCCGAATGGGAATAAATTATTACGTTTTAGGCACATTCGAGTTCTCATAAAGGAAACTACTCACAAGGTTGCAGAAAACTGTTCGACAGCCCACGACCGGTTTCGCCCTTCTTCAGTTTTGTTTTTCAACCGTTTTCCCACGTCACTAGGGGAATTTTCAGCTCTCTGGTGCGATTGACCGGTGTTCTCACGACTTCCATCGTGGGCTCGGTTTGCAGTGTAATTGCGATACGAATTGATGATACGTGGTTCTTGAACCTGGGTGACGGGTGGTCAAGTTGGCCGCTCTCTACGGGTCAACGGTGAGCCGATCATGACGAATTGGCAGGGAAACACGTCCAACTAGATACACCTTGATGGAAAAAGTATCACTAATGGCCAGGTGTGACGTCAGCCACTGCTAGAAACTGAAGTCTGAGGATCATAAGTTATTGGCCAAGGGTATAGAGATGAAACCTCTTGGTACAGCACGGATCTGTCGGTCACCAAGTTGTGACGACAGGAATCCATGGCTACAGTCACCGACATACGAGCGAGAATTATTTTTGTAAATCGGTGCGCTAAGCGTCCTAAAAATTGAGAGGGGACTAGTACAAGATGGGAATTTCGCCTTAGCGCGAACCAGTGCTCTGAGTATTAAACGAAAAGTTCCGAGTTCACTGGGACCAAATGACAATGTTCCAGAAAGAATCGACAAAATTTCGATTTGACGTTCACATCGTTTTTTGTTTGAAGAGGACTCCTCATGTCAGGTAAGTCAAACACATCATACCAACGTGAGCAACTTCGCCTTTCAGTCGTGGACACCAAGCTTGCACTGACAGTAACCCACTCGTCTTGCATGTTAGATGTCCGGATTTCAACCGTTGGTGTGGTGATGAAAATACACTGCTGATGAGCTCTAGGAAGACCGAAGGTCGAGTTCAGTGATTCCCTCCTTGGTGTGGGCACACTGAAATAAGTTAACCAAGACGGGAGGTAGACTGTTCAGAACAGAGTGACGTGAACACGGTTTTTACAAATCGCGCAACTATCCACAACTAAGCAAGAGTAAAAATTTAAACGAGATTGAAATTACGATTGTAGGCCTTATTCCCGTGGTCCGAATTCGTTTCTGAACGGTCGATTATTTTGGTCATGGGGTGATTAGTCCTCTTCTCAACTGATTCACTGATGAGTCAGACATCTCTCCGTTAGCCTTCAGCAACATAGAAGTTTTATCTCCTTCAAATGAATTTCTTATCGTCATCATCATCATCAT